CTGTTAGAGAACCAGTGCTTCCCAGTCCTTTCTAAATCTAAATTTATCCAATTAAATCATTTTTCTGGTTCTTTCCCTTTTTCGACACCCCTACTGAACATTAAAATTGTTAAATACCGACGGTTGTTAGGGGAAACCATATGCAACAGTTAGGTATCTTTTTTTTGAAAAAATTTCACCTAACAGTAGGCTTCTTCAGTCGAGTACGAAAAGTTGATAGAGCAGAAAATACTTTAAGCGATGTAAACAGTCCCTCACCTTAAAGTTTTGGGTGGTCAGTCCCCCAGTTGGAGAAGAGCATTGTTCCTAGTATGAAACAATATTGTTTTACCCCAGTATGAAAACTCCATAGATGAAACAATTTTGTTTCTACTTTGGAACAATGTCTTTCCAGGGTGAGGGATGCCACCTCAAAAATTTAAGGGGGATGGACGATTAATCGTCTTCAAGTATCTTCTGTTCAATCAACTTTTTGTACTCGACTGAAAAAGCCTACTGTGAGGTGAAACGTTTCGAAAAAAGTTCCTAAATGTTGTTGTGTCTTACCTAACCCCCAGTACTTTTTAATATCTCCTTTTTTTATAACCGTCATCCCCTTATACACTTTAATGTATCTTCCCCCCACTTTACGTCTCTCCCGAGAGTGGGATTTTTGGGTTTAAGCTATCTTTTAACGGGGATTCCTTAGAAGTTTAAAATTTTAGTCTCCTTCTTGTTGTTCTAAAAGAATCTATATCCACCTGATAAGGAGACCAAAAGAGCAGCTAATCAAATGAGGTCACTGTGAGGATTTAGCTATTTAAAAAAACTTTTGAAACTTCGTTATTATATTCTTTAGAAAATCAAGTAATTTGTTAGCCTTGTTGCAACATTAGGCACGCTGTCTTGGCTTTGTTTCTGCTTACCTGACCCCAAGTCCTTTTTTAATTCTGTATGATCAAGCTCTACTTACCCGTTTATAGCTTCGAGGGTTTTTTTTCATTACCAAGGATAGTACCTTAACTTATCCCAAATTTAACTTCATCTGCCTTTTTCAGCCAAGACATTTAACTGTCCAAATCTTCCTGGAGTTTTTGCTATCCTCCCCCAGAATAATCATAGGCCCATCTTTTTATCATGCAAATTTTTCTTGTCCTAAATCCCCCTTTCAAGGTCATTAACAAGAGAAGGCTAAAACTGTCGTGGGGCCCCTAGTGACTAAAACCCATTCAGTTTGACCCCCTTTAATGGAAACTCTTGTTTCTATTGGTAAGCCATGCTTATCCCAAACTAGAATTTCCTCCCATACCATGAGCTGTACTTTTTTAAGAGCTCTTGTGGGTCTCTATCGAAAGGGTTTTCTAAAATCCAAATAAAAAATATCATATTCTTTATCCTGTTTCTGCCCCAAATGTTTTTTTTGAAGAAAACAGTAAATTTGTCAGGGGAAAGGCCTTCTGAAACCCATGGAGATTCAAATCAGTTTTCCTTAAAGGTGAAAATAATGTCACTTAAATTTATTTTATAACTTGCCCCCTATAGAAAAAAACAAGATTGGGGTAATTGAAGGAATGGATTTTCCCCTGATATGAATATGGGAACAAATTGGCCATCTTCCACAACTCTGGCACAACTACAGTAAGGTGGAGATGCATTTACACACTCGTTAATGTGACTAAGTTCCATCTTGCATTCCTTATGTACCCTGGAATTTAAACTCGTCGGGCCACGGGGCACTTTACTTTGCTTTTCAGTTTGAACTATCTGTTTGAGAACCTGTCCTCGGTGACACTAATATTGTCAATTTGAATTCGTCAGGAACTGAATAATGTTAATTTCTGGAAATCTAATTTGTGTCTTCCTTTGTAAAAATAACTGACAAAAAAAAAATAGTCATTAAATATAGAACACATTTCCAGTTCGTTATCCGTCAGCTGTCCATTCCCAATTTCAGAGGCCTACTTTTTCCTTCACCTTTCACATATACAACTTGAAAGAACCCTTGATTGTCTTTGATTCATTAGCAACTCTATTCCATAGTCACGATTTAGCCTTCTAATCCCTTTTTTTACTTCTCTTTTAAGTGATAATATTGGTCAGTCAGGTTATCCTCTCCTTTTCTGATGCAACCTATAAAATTCCCCTTTTCTGCCCTATTAGTTTGCTTTAGACTCCTGTTGACTCATTTGGTGATCGTTATTATTAGACCTGAGTTCTCTTCTGGGGAATGTATATAAATCTGAGCACGGTTTGTACATTATTAAGAAAGTATCTCAATTATATGGTGATCCTTCATAATCATAAGTATCGATCATCGTCAATAGAATCATTAGCTAGATAACCCCAATCGAGATTTGACAGGTGTTCCCTAAGTTCATTATAATCGGCAGAACGAAAATCAGGGATTTTTACCGTATTATCGTTATTCTTGTATTCCCAGTTAATGCTAAAAGTGATGGATTTGTGATCACTTGCACCAAGCTCTTCAGTGATCTCCAGATCTGGGATTTATATCAAGAAGTGTAAGCAACAGAAGTTCAGTGGTTATATTACAGCTTTATACATCATTAGTAAGGCTTCACCTAGATTATGCAGCTCAGTTCTGGTCTCCATATTACAGAATGGACATAAATTCATTAGAAAACATTCAGTATAGAATGACTAAATTAATACATAGCATTAGAAGTCTTCCGTATGAAATAAGATTGAAGACTCTTAAATTGCATTCACTTGTTAGACGAAGAATGAGAGGAGACTTGATCGAAGTGTATAAGTGGAAGATTGGTAATAATAAAGGGATACAAATAAGGTCTTGAGGATTTCTTTCCAAGAGAGAACCTGCAGTAATGGATTCAAATTAGACAAGTTTAGATTTAGAAAGGATATAGGAAAGTACTGGTTTGGAAATAGGGTAGTTGATGAGTGGAACAGTCTGCCTAGTTGGGTGAAACTACCTAAATTTGAAATTACCTTGGGTAGTTTCAAATTTAGGTTGGATAAATACACAAGTGAGTGGGGTTGGATTTGAATGGGACTTGCACATGAGTAAATAGAATTATCAAAGCTTATTGCTTGGGTTGCAATAAGCCATTACAATAGGCCAACAGGCCTATTGAAGTGTTCCTCCTTTCTTATGTTCTTATGTTCTTAGAGTTACTGCAGAAATTTAATCGTAGTGTGCCAGTGCAGCATCTTACTGAAGAATATGGGGTTGGAACTACTGCTGGTTGTGATTTCAAGAAACAGAAAGACAAGTTACTGAAGTATTATAGTGACAGTGATGACAAAAAACAAATGATAAATAGGAAAACACTGCAAAGGGTAAAAAAACAAAGATCTTGATCATGTGCTAATGGAGTGGATTCGACAATGAAGAAGTGAACATATGCCACTGACTGGTTTGTTCATCATGAAACAAGCTAGAATATACCATGAAGAACTGAACATTGAAGCCGAGTGTCAATATTCAGAAAGTTGGCTGCAGAAATTTAAGAAGCGCAATGGTGTAAAATGTCTGAAAATCTGTGGTGGAAAAACTTCTGCTGACCATGAAGCAGCTGAAAATTACATTGACGAATTTGCCAAGATAATATCTGACAAAAACCTTAGTCCTGAACAAATTTACAATGCTGATGAAACAGGTCTCTACTGGCGCTATGTTCCTAGAACAGCATTAACAATGGCTGATGAGAGAGCACCAACAGGTTTTAAGGATGCTAAGGACAGGTTAACTATTCTTGGGTGTGCCAATGCTGCAGGCACACACAAGGTGAAGTTGGCAGTGATTGGAAAAAGCAAACATCTGAGATGTCTGAAAGGTGTATGCAATTTACCTGTGCATTATTATGCCAACAAGAAAACATGGGTAACGAAGTGGTTCAATAACCACTTCACACCAGCTGCACGAGCTCATTGCAGATAAGCTGGACTAGAAGAAAACTGTAAAATTTTATTGTTCCTGAATAACTGCTCCGCACATCCCCCTACCAAACTTCTTGTGAAAAGTAATGTTTTCGGCATCTACTTGCCCCCTAATGTGACATCTATGTTACAGCCTCGAGACCAAGGAATTTTATGCTCCATGAAGACCAGGTATAAAGACTATTTTTTAAACTGTATGCTTGCTCCAGTCAACAGAGGAGCAGGAATCCAAGACTTCCTGTTCAGTCTTAAGGATGCCATTTTTGCAGTTGCTAATGCTTGGAAGGATGTTGATAAATCAACATTAACAAATGCTTGGCACATAATTTGGCCTAAAGCAATGTTTGATGTAGATGAATTTACAGATGAAGACTTTGAAGGATTTCATGTCACTGATGAGATGATAATATCAAACCTCAGAACTTACACTAAAAGTTTATTGGATGAAAGTGTAAATAAGTTACAGGAAGCAGACATCGAAGAAATGCTGAATATTGACAATGATGCACCTGTTGTGCATTCCCTGAGCGATGGTGAAATTGCTGAAATGGCGTTAAATATAAATAAGCATGAGAATACTAGTAGTGATGATGATGACATTGTGAACACAGGTGAAAGTCCCCATGGACGATATGGTAGAAATGTGTGATCAGTTAATTGCTGCCCTTGAACAATGTGCATTTATCAGTGAGCAAGAGATTATGGCAATTTACTCACTTAAAGAGAGATTGCTTAGACAGAAACCTATGTTAATGAGACAGATGACACTTGAAGAAGTCTTTAAAAATGCCATCTGTCATAGTGCTGCTTCATCACTTGAGAATCATGTAAATAAACTGTAGCAGTATTTGTAAATAGTATTTGTAAATAAACCGTAACAGTATTTGTTTTCTTTATTTATCCCACTTAATGTGAGCATTCATATGTTTTTGCTGCAGTGTTAATGTTTGATTACGGGGTGCTGCTCTAGACCTTTCCCCCTCACCATTCTGAAATTCAAAACACTGCTGGCCCTAAGGGTTTCAATAAAGGGGTGGGGACTGTACCATAAACCCTCGAATTCTGCATATCTAAGAAATATACTGAAATACGACTACTACCTGAGCCCTTGGTGGAGGTAGTGAGAATCTCTGAAGGCAGACCAGTGCCCACCTTGTTGTAAGCCGTCACATATAACTGGTAGCGGGAGCCACACACAAGACCAGACAGGGTGTGGGTGGTCCTTGCTGTGTGAAGTTCTACCTAGAGTAAATAAAAAAAATGAACATGGCTACTGTTATTAGCATTAAGAACACTGAACATATGATTAGATGTTGTTGAGAGGTTACCAAAAATATCATTCAGAAGGCTTAGGAGGGGTTGTTGAGAGGATAGAGCAAAATAGGATGGCTAGCAGGGCGTAAAAATCTGGGGTGGAGGTAAGGAGGGTAAAGTAAATTTTGAGTGCTAGGGGCATGGTCATCCAATAGGCTTGTGCAAGCACATTACATATGAGTGAGTGGAAGCAAGCAGCTATATGACATGAGAGGCTGTTGGAGTGTGAGCAAGGTAACATTTTGAAGGAATTCAGGGAAACCAGTTAGCTGGATTTGAGTCCTTGAGGTGAGAAGTATACTACATGCACTCTGAAGGAGAGGTGATGTTGCAATTTAGAGGGCCATCTACACTGATGGAATAAGTGATGGAATAAGTGACAGTAAAAGTGCTTCTCCTTTTTTGGGTCCTTTTTCTCGGTGGAAAATGGCCAGTGTGTTATAAAAGGTTTTATACACGTTGGTGACCTCCCATTAAGGTAGGATGAATCAAAACAGAAATAATTTTACATGCAACTGTAGCAGCAGCTTTGATTAAATTGTGATTATTTACGTATTTTAGCTAATAAGTGAGGTATGTCAGAAAATGTTTCAAAGCACTGTAAATCATCAAAATATGCCATAATATAACATTTATTTATTTATTCATCTATTTATTTATTTTTATTATCTGGACATGATACATAATTGTATAAAGAAATACAGTGATTGGGTGTACATGCCAAAGTCCCTTGTATGCAGAGCATTATGGGCAGGCTTAAAATTAACTGAAGATTAACCTAGCAATGATATATTCAGTGGTAAAAATTACAGTAAACAAACTGCAACATGAAATACAAATGAGTATTTCAAATAAGAAGCTTTATAGCTGTACAAATTTGTAGCATAACAATTTATAATATAATCCAGTCAAATCGAATAAAATCAATGATTTGTAGTGCAGAAACAGGTCATATGGTCATTAGATGAGTTACTGTGCATTCAAGAGAATGGAGTATTCAATTAGGTAATGTAATTAAAAAACACAGTTTGATAGGGTCACAGGTTATACATTTATGAGATACAGTTATTCAGTATTTATTTAGTTGTGGGTAAGTGGTTTTTAAGAAGAGTCTTGAATTGACAAACAGACAGTATTTCTTTTATATTCACAGATAATGAATTCCAGATTTTTGGGCCTTTTATGTGCATTGAGTTTTTACATAGTGCGAGATGGACACTGGGAACATTAAAGAGTGATCTGTGCCTTGTGTTATGGTCATGTGTTCTGTTGAGGTTGGTAAGGAGAATAACAAAATGGTATACAATGCCAACAGGTTGGTAGATAAGACACATAGGCAACAGTTAGGCAACTTTATTCCAAAACGTTTCGCCTACAGTAGGCTTCTTCAGTCGAATACAAGAAGTAGGCAGGAACAGTAGAGATGAGAAGACGATGTAATCACTCCATCACTCTTGAAGTCTTAGACTTGAGGTTGTCAGTCCCTCAGCCTGGAGAAGTTCAGTTCCATAGTCAGGAACTATCTGAAGATCAAGCGACAGTGCGGAGACTTAAATACTGTCGGAAGGAGAGGTGCAGAGTAGTAGTAGTAGTAGTGAGACTGCAGCCACTGAGAGGTCACGTCCCTCTCAGATCAAACAATTCTCACTTGAAAAAGTTGTCCAAGGTGTTTTCTGTACCAAGATGCCATTGTGTTGCAGTGTCTGACAGGGTGAATAACAAAATGGTATACAATACCGACAGGTTGGTAGATAAGACACATAGGCAACAGTTAGGCAACTTTATTCCGAAACGTTTCGTCTACACAGTAGGCTTCTTCAGTCGAATACAGAAAGTAGGCAGGAACAGCAGAGATGTGAAGACGATGTAATCCGTCCATCACCCTTGAAGTCGTAGATTTGAGGTTGTCAGTCCCTCAGCCTGGAGAAGTTCAGTTCTGCACCTCTCCTTCCGACAGTATTTAAGTCTCCGCACTGTCGCTTGATCTTCAGATAGTTCCTGACTATGGAACTGAACTTCTCCAGGCCTAACTGTTGCCTATGTGTCTTATCTACCAACCTTGGTAAGGAGAAGTTTGAGAGGAGGATTTATATCCAAGTTTAGTGTTCCATGTATGTAGCAGCCACAATAATAAGTATGGATGTTTTGTAAGGTGAGTAACTTTAGAATTTTGAATATTGGTGGAGTGTGCTGCCTGGAGTGGGAATTTGTTATCATTCTGACTGTAGCCTTTTGTTGGGTAATTAATGGTCTGAGATTATTTATTGTTGTTGAGCCCCATGCACAAATTCCATACGTGAGATAGGGGTAAATGAGTGAGTGATATAGGGCCAGGAGGGCTGACTGTGGAACATAGTACCGTATCTTTGATAGTATGCCTACGGTCTTCGAGATTTTCTTGGAATTTTGTTGTACATGTGTTTGAAATTTGAGTCTATTATCAAGGTGGATTCCTAAGAATTTTCCCTCTGTGCGCTTTGTGATAGGTGATCCGTTTATCATTATGTTAAGAGGACATCTGTAGCTCTGTTACCTAACTGAATGAAGTAGGTTTTGTCAATATTGAGAGTAAGTTTGTTAATCATCATCCAGGTAGGTATTTTCTGTAATTCGGTATTTATAGTATTGGCTAGCATGACTGGGCTTGGGTGAGAGATGTATGTAGTGTCATTTGCAAGTAGTGTGGGTTTGAGTAGTTGCAATGCATTTGGTAGGTTGTTTATGTAAATGAGAAAGAGAAGAGGGCCAAGGACACTTCCGTGTGGGACACCAACTGTAATGGGCTGTGTGGAAGAGTTTGCTCCATTTGTGTACACATATTGGCTTCCATTGCTGAGGTATGACTTTAGGTAGTTGAAGGAGAGCCCTCTTATACCACAGTGTGACAATTTTATGTGCAGCAAGTCATGGTCAACTGTATCAAAAGCTTTACGTAAATCAATGAAGATCCCCAATGGGACTTCTTTTTTCTCAAGTGCAGTGAATATTTGTTCTAGTATGTGTATAATAGCATCATTCATATTTTTATTAGGCCTGAACCCAAACTGACAGGGGTTGAGCATGTTGTGGGAGATGAGGAAGGAATAAATTCACTTATGAATTAATTTTTCAAAGATTTTAGAGAGAGGGTGTAAGTTGGATATTGGCCTATAGTTATTCAAGTCTGGTCTCCTCCTCTATGGATCGGGGTGACCCTCACTATTTTGAGAACTGTAGGGAAGGTAGAGGATTCGATGGATTTGTTAAAGTGTTGCAATGATTGGTGACAGCACTTGTGAAGCTTCTTTTGTATATAACGGGTGGTAAGGTATTTAAATCTCCTGTCTTGTGTTTTATTTTTTAATGATTCATGTATTTTTAAAAATCATATGAATTATTCAGTAAAAATATATATTTTTATGGACGTTTCATACAATGCTTTAAAAATATGTGAAATATTTAAAAATATAGAAAAATGTGCTGAAACATTATCTTGTTGAATATGTGGACAATTCAGTGCAGTTTAAAGATTTTTCTGACAAACCTCAATTTTTAGCTAAAATATGCATATATGCTTATTTCCAATAAAATGCAACTGAAGCAGCAGATTTGATTAACCCTTTGAGGGTCCAGACCCTTAATCTGAGAACTGCTGCCAAGGTCCAAGAATTTAAAAAAAAAAAAAATTCTTACGAAATGGTAATCTTTTTCCGAAGGTAATATTACAAAAAGTATGAAATTTGATGGAAAACTGACTAAAATATGCTTTTACGAATTTTGTCATTTCATCAATATGAATGCATCAGTGATTTTCCTAACTTTGAGTCCTATTTTAGGCCAATTACATTGTTGCAGTCGACCTGTAATGGATTTCTGGGCTGTTTTACCCTGCAGTACATTATACAGCTGACGGTAAAGCATCAGCGGCTTTACACACCGTTTCACAGCCCTGCTTCTATATTTGTCAGGGTCCTCTTCAGTAAAAAAGTCTAACTTAAAGTCAATCAGTCAGTCAAGTAAGTCAATAAAGTCAGTCAAATCAATAAGTCAGTCAGTAAGTCAAATAAGTCAGTCAAGTCATTTAGTAAAGTCAGTCAGTCTAGTCAGTATGTCAGTCAGTCAAATAAGTCAACAAGTCATTCAAGTAAATCAGAAGAGTCAGTCAAGTAAGTAAGTAAAGTCAGCCAAGTAATTCAGTAACATCCATCAGTCAAGTCAGTAAAGTCAGGGAGTCAGTATATCAGTCAGTAAGTCAGTCAAATAAGTCTAAATTAGACACTGGTCAGCAATTTATTGCAGCCTGTCTATCTCCTTTCTAAAAAATTGGGACTACATTTGCTGTCTTCCACACCTAAGGCAGTTGCCCTGTTTTGATAGATTTATTGAAGACTGTTGTTAGTGATACAGTGCATCTGCTCCCTCTCCCAGGATCACCTTGTCCTCATTTGTGTGCAGTGTGTCCAGCACTTTCTGGTGTGCCCTACCACCTCAGTTTGCTGGAAGCCTTTCTGTCTCCATTGTGAATACATAGCACCAGATATGGTATTAGATGTGTACAAATACAGAACCAAGAATGATATTAGACATGTGTGAATGTAGTATGAGATATGGTATTAGACAAGTATGAATGTAAAACCAAGAACAATAGGGCCCTGCTTTATGGCACTTCGCTTTACGCTGTTCCGCTAATACGGACATTTCAAATTATGACCAAAACTCTTTATACGGCTCCCCCACCTGACTTTCTAATACAGTCACCGCGCCCCACCCAGTCTGTTTACATTCTCCACGAGCTTCGTAAACACTACGTCTCTCCATTATGTCTGGAAACTCCAAAATTTCAAGTGTTTTTAAAAGTTATTTCATATTTTATATATACTCTGATAATTATACCTATGTATACCTGTACCTAAATAAACTTACATACTATGCTGGCATACAGGTACACA